TTCTTGTCGGCATACATTCGTCCCACCACGATGGCACGGGCTAAACACATTTTGTCTTGAGGATTGTTAATTTGAACGATACTCTTTTTGATGCTGCGAAGGTTGTCTACCAAGAGCACTTTTTTTTGCTAAGTCTACATTCACACACACACACACATACATAAATGCATACATACATACTAAAGGGTGATACAAGGATTTTAAGTTTTCATTGATTTTTTTTGGCAAAATGAATAGTATTTCTTTTCGAAAGTAATGAGTGGTCCTGAAAAGGACCGTTGGGTCTTTTGTTTCCTGAGAACACACTCAAGAACGAGAAGCAATTCGCTTTAATTGCCTTATGCCTTTGCCACGGCCAAGGCCAACTTGTGGACTTGCTCTTGTCAGTGATTGAGTAGAAATTACTAATGGTGGAATCTCTGGTGTAGTCACAATGTTAGTCTGCTTGGCTCGGGAAGGTCTTTTTCTCTTCGGACGTAATAAAGAAGTCTGATACATTTCTTTCAGATTTCTTAACTCCGCTAAAATATCCAAGAGTGTCGTGACCGTTTGACTTTCACTGTTTTCCTTCTCTCCTGGACTTGCTTTCTTTTCTACTGCTTCTTCTTCTTCTTGTCGTTTCCTTCTCGTCTCTTCTTCTTCTCGCTGTTGCTGTTCAAGCAGAAATGCTTCTTCTGCTTCTTTCTGCTGCTGTAAAAATTTCTCTAATTCTTCTTTTTGTCTTTGTTTAAAATCGTCGATGCGTGGTAAAGAAGGAGAAATTGGTGAAGGTACTGGTGCCGGTACAAATTCTTGCGAAGAGAGAAAATCAACTAAATCCCAGTTGAAATCAACCTCTTCGGTCAGTGACACTGTGTTCACTTTAGTAGCCGATGCTATACCATTGCTTTTCGTCTCCGCAGCTGGTGCACCCCAATTCATTGTCTTCTTAAATTCCGTCATGTTTGACTCAACAATGCCGCATCTATTCACTTCGCACGAACGCTAGTGAACGTATATAGGCATTGTGACGTCACAGGGAACTCTCTTCGGATTGGAAGACAGGTTCCGCGAAGTGACCGAATTTTGTAACGCGTATTGGGATTGGTCAACCATTTCAATCTGTTTTGATCCAGTCTTTCCCTATAAATACAAACAGTTCACTTCATTTCCTTCACCTGTTCTCATCACACACAAAGAAGATGTTGATCACTGCTAAATCCTCTAGTTGGTTATCGTCATTGTTTTTTGATCCGGTATTACCCGTGTATGCGAAAACAGAATGGACTGTCATCCGGATTAAAGGTGCTACTGTTTGGAACAGAAGATGTTATGTGGAAAGACAAGGCTGTTTGAAGCGGACTCTCATCTTCGGACAAGAAGTGAGATGCAGTTTAAGACAAGCTTTGAGAAAGAAAAAAGCAATGCGATGTCCTGTATGTTAACGGCATGATGTTAACATCATAAACAAAGGCCCTTTTCAGGGCCACTTTTCATGTCTCGAAAAGATTATACTTTTCCATAACAAATTGCCTGTATAAGTTATAAAACATACATTTCACTAACACGACGAATGCTTGACGTCACAGTACTTACACATTGCTACACTGTTGACAAGTGTTCAGTACCGTGACGTCATGCCACCTGGGACCATTTCTCTTGACGCTATACAGTCCCAGAGTGTGCTAATACAAAAATCTTGTCGCCAAAGTACAAAACACCCTATTTTAATGATAACTCCCATTGTCGCTATAAAGGCTCGGCTGTGCCATTTGTCGCCAAAAATCTTGTCGCCAAAGTACAAAACACCCTATTTTAATGATAACTCCCATTGTCGCTATAGGATCCCCATTCACTACTTTTCTCATTGAATGATAATCTATAGATGTTCCGAAAATAATTATGTACCTTCTTAATGGTTGCGCGATGTGGCGTGCTTTATTCGAAGCAAAATTAAAATATTATGCTGTCACATGAGTTCTATTGCGAATCACAAAAACAATTTACAGCATGCATAAATTAAGCAATCAGATCCATTCCGATTTTTGGAGTCATTCACACTTATTGTGCTCCTGTTGTAAGTCTGCAGAAGAGTTTTATATTATACTTAAATATTATTCAAGAGGAGAAAAAAATTGTTTGGGCTGCTTGGTTTAAATAGAAAATGCTCATATTTTGAACTTAAATATTATTCTGGAACTGTTATTAAATATTCGAAAGAATTTTGGAGAACACGATCTTGACAACGTCACTTTTCTTAAAAGAACAGTACATTTTCAGTATTAAAATTTAAAAGACAGTTTCCTTTCATTTAGGACTTTCAGAGACTTTTAATAATTAATAGTTTGCATTCACTTCATAACATTGTAAGTTCCTCTCGGATGTTTCGTTTATAAACTTGATAATTAAATTGTTAAGCTTTATACAACTGATTGGGTTTGCTTTTTTTTGGTTACTTACGTTTGTGACTATAGACTCGTAACATTATCATTAAATGCAACATGCTGTGCTGCTTAAGTGAAAGTTGTTACCGCTAAATGCAATATGCAGTGCTGCTTATCTGAAAGTTTGTTACTGTGAAGTGTAATATGCAGTGCTACTTATCTGAATGTTGTTACCGTTAAATGTAATATGCAGTGCCGCTTATCTGAAAGTTGTTACCGTTAAATGTAATATGCAGTGCCGCTTATCTGAATGTTGTTACTGTTAAATGTAATATGCAGTGCCGCTTATCTGAAAGTTGTTACCGCTAAATGTAATATGCAGTGCCGCTTATCTGAATGTTGTTACTGTTAAATGTAATATGCAGTGCCGCTTATCTGAAAGTTGTTACCGTTAAATGTAATATGCAGTGCCGCTTATCTGAATGTTGTTACTGTTAAATGTAATATGCAGTGCCGCTTATCTGAAAGTTGTTACCGCTAAATGTAATATGCAGTGCCGCTTATCTGAATGTTGTTACTGTTAAATGTAATATGCAGTGCCGCTTATCTGAATGTTGTTACTGTTAAATGTAATATGCAGTGCCGCTTATCTGAAAGTTGTTACCGTTCAATGTAATATGCAGTGCCGCTTATCTGAATGTTGTTACTGTTAAATGTAATATGCAGTGCTGTTTATCTGAATGTTGGTACCATTAAAAGTAATATTTTATGGTAGTTATCATTCAATGTAAAATGCAAATATATGTGTTTCCTAAATCCCGGGCTATATCATATTTTTTGCAGAAATTATCATTTATATTCTTTTGAATATTTGTCAACATACCTTTTTTTTCCACCACACTTTAATCATTAACACATGACCGGCATTAATTTGTTAGTTATGTGCTGTAGGTAATCTTTATTGAATGCTTTATCTGTAAAGCTTCTGATTATTTTATGTCTCAGCAGTATTAATATTAGTGTTGGTTGTGCTATTTCTAGCAGAGTTGGTAGTAATATTGGTTGTAGTATGGGTTGTATTATTTGTAGTAGTAATAGTATTGGTAGTAGAATTGGTATTAGTATTAGTGCTAGTATTGATAGCAGTATTATTATTAGTGTCTATAGTATTATTGGTGCTAGTATTGTCAGTAGAATTAGTAGTTGTATGGGTAGTATTTGTAGCAGTATTGGTAATAGCATTGGTAGTAGTAGTATTAGTGTTGGTATTATAATTGGTATTAGTACTAGTGGTATTATTTTTAGCAGTATTAGTATTAGAGTTGATAGTAGTATTGGTGCTAGTATTGTTAGTAGAATTAATGCTAGTATTGATAGTAGAATTAGTTGTAGTATTTGTAGCAGTAGTGGTCTTATTGTCGATAGCAGTATTGGTAGTAGAATTAGTACTAATATTGGTAGTAGAATTAGTGCTAGTATTGGTAGTAGAATTAGTAGTATTGGTGTTAATATTGGTATAGTGTTAGTGTTAGTGTTAGTAATAATATTGTTATTAGTATTATTAGCATTGGGCTAAATATTAGTAATAGTGTTGGTAGTAGTAGAAAGAACATCAAAGGTAGCAAGTACAAGCAGTATTATGTAGTTAGTAATAGTTCCAAGTTGTGGTGGTAGTGATGACAACATCAGTCAGACGGCAATGTCAGTATTGGCAGTAAATGCAGCAGCTTCGCGTGTAGACTTTACAACCAAAATTGATTATAGCAGCAGCATTTGCTGTTGTATGGTGACAGAAATTACAGCTACTACAGTAATTGGAGAACGTATAGTAGTGGTAGAAGAAAAATAAGTAGAAATAGTAGTATTTGTGGTAGTGATGTGTGATTTTTATTAACAGTAATAAAAGGGAATAAGAAGACTTAATGTTAAACGTATAAAACAGGATAAAAGAGGGGGCATAAACGGGTTAAAGATGCAAAAGAAACACCTTTGGCTATTCCCCCGATCATTCTCGATTAGAACAATTAGAGTGAGAAATATACGATCATAACAAGTGATAAGAACGGAAAAAAGAGAACAGTTGTGTAGAATATGTCACCAAAAGACAGTCTGATACTTACATTTGCATAAACATATATAATTCCAGAATGACATGCATATATGGTTGTAAATATAAAAATAATTTAGCAGCATAGTTGCAGGGTTATCTATTATTCCATTCAGCTCAGTTATTATAGTCTGCATGTCATTTCCACCTTTCTGCTACTATTAAATTCATCGCAAAGTAAGTAATCCTTTAAATCACCCATAGTTATAATATCTTTAAAGTCTTCGTTTAAATCACCCATATATTATAATAATATCAAAGTCTTCGTTTGAAACACTCACAATTATATTAGATGTGATGAAATTATGATTTTCAACGTAGCTTTAACAATTTTTATATCCATACCAGTACGATGTCTGCAGTGTGGTAGTTTATTGTGATGTCTAACACTGGGGCATCATACCGTAGACATGTAGCATGATGTCCCACCCAGTCACATTATCCTGACACCAGGTCGACCAGTCCTAACAATAACCTCTTAATGCTGATCGTCAAGCGAGGCTGCTGTTAGTACCATTTTTGTAAGTCTTTGGTATGAGTCGACCTGGGATTGAACCCACGACCTCCCACATACAAAGCGGACGCTCTAACCACTAAGCAATTATATTTACAATAGAATCAAAGTCCTAGTTTAAATCAACCACGATTATAATAGTATCACGGTCTCCATAATATAATTGTGTCACAAACAATCAGACCTCGCTCAGGAATCATATTCGATGAATCTTAGAAGTGTGACTACGTATATGGGGTACGGTACATTCCAAGTAACATATATCGCATAGGTTCTAAACACAAATATATCACTTCATGGTATAAAAATCTAATTTTCTGAAATATAGATCTCGTATATTTTACATGGATTCAGCTCAGTATGGAACATAATATGATACAGATATTGGACCTGGATTCAGCTCGTTATGGATCAGATTATGATACATATATTGGACTTAAATTCAGCTCAGTATGGAACAAAATATGATGCATAGTTTGGGCCTGCATTCATCTCAGTTTGGATCAAATATTTTTCCTCAATTCAACTCAGTATGGAACAGAATATGACACATATCTTGGGCCTGGATTCCGCTTAGTATGGATCAGAATATGATACATATATTGGGCCTGGATTCCGCTTAGTATGGATCAGAATATGATACATATCTTGGGCCTGGATTCCGCTTAGTATGGATCAGAATATGATACATATATTGGGCCTGGATTCCGCTTAGTATGGATCAGAATATGATAAATATCTTGGGTCTGGATTCCGCTTAGTATGGATCAGAATATGATACATATCTTGGGCCTGGATTCTGCTTAGTAGTGAATCAGAATATGCAACAGGTATTGGGCCTGGATTCATCACAGTATGGATCAAATTATGATACGTATATTGGGAATAGGATAGATTGAGCATGAAGATTTTGTATATTAATTCAGCACACTATCGTGTAAGAAAATTAACAGATATTTTGCGAACATATAAAGACAAATCTGTCAATAAATGTTAAAATTATATGTATGTATGTATGTATGTATGTATGTATGTATGTATGTATGTATGTATGTATGTATGTATGTATGTATGTATGTATGTATGTATGTATGTATGTATGTATGTATGTATGTATGTATGTATGTATGCATGCATGCATGCATGCATGCATGCATGCATGCATGCATGCATGTATGTATGTATGTATGTATGTATGTATGTATGTATTATGTATTATGTATGTATGTATGCATGCATGCATGCATGCATGCGTGTGTATGTATGTATGTATGTATGTATGTATGTATGTGTGTGTATGTATGTATGTATGTATGTATGTATGTATGTATGTATGTATGTATGTATGAATGTATGTATGTATGTATGTATGTATGTATGTATGTATGTATGTATGTGTGTGTGTGTGGTGTGTATGTATGTATGTATGTATGTATGTATGTATGTATGTATGTATGTATGTATGTATGTATGTATGTATGTATGTATGCATGCATGTATGTAAGTAACTGGGATACAAAACATCACAAACGCTGTAATTCTGTACAACTAATTTCACATTTACTGTATGCTTCTTTAGGTAGAAAAAGTTTGAAAGAAACGGATGACGCGTTTATATTTAAAAAGCCGTTACGTTATTTACATAACGTCATACACGTTATGCATCATCATAACAATTTTATCTATTATATAGTAGGTATTGTTTTCCTATAGTAAGTGCAGTTTCATGTTTTTAATAATACCACGTTAAAATATAACTTTATGTCATTCGGATTGATCCAAATAAGCCCATGAAATTATCGTGCAGTATCCTCTTTACTAATTGGTTGGGATCTTGGGAAAACGTTTCTAACCCCGCATTCTGAAATGTTTTGTCTTGAATGAACATTTTGGGCGGCAGTTGTTTTTAACTCGACTCGTGAAAGGAAATTGAGACAAAATGATCTCGGCTGTCTGGATATGGATATGTTACCCGAACATGGGTTTGTTGTGTCATGTATAACAGTATCATCATAAGAAAAAAAATACAAGATACGAACAACAAAAAGACGTAAAAGTAAGTGTATTGCCTGTTTGATAGAGAGGCGGTTTAACTGTAACAATGATATAGAATTCACCATATATACAAGCGTGGTTTAGATGTTAACTTACAGAAGTAAATAAACTCACCTCTGTACTTTTTTTCAAAATCAAATACTGCAAATATCCGGTCACACAAATGCATTGCAGGAAAAGTGGGAATTTTGCATCCAGTAATACTATTTCGCATGAAAATCTCAACAATGTAATATTTAGTTCTAAAAGTGACATTTTAGTGTAAACATTTACTTTAGGCCTACTGTGTACCTTATCAAATAATGTGGCATCCCATCACATTGATTGTTCTGTTTCTTTCGTTTTAAAATATTCTGACAGTCGTACATATAATTCTATTTTTTTATAAAGGATATATATATATATATATATATATATATATATATATATATATATATATATATATATATATATATATATATATATATATATATATATATATATATATATATATATATATATATATATATCATATCATATCAACGTTCTAAGAACATTTAAATACATTTTAATACCAATAATCACTCTCTACTCAATTTGTCTTTTATGCCAATTTATATTGTGCATGGAGACATGAATACACTCATTAAAGAAAGTTATTGGATTCATTCGTTAGTTTGTATCTTAATGGCCTTAATAATAAGGCACTATATAAAATTGCATAAAATGTTAATTAAAATTAATATGTTGTATATCCTTTATCAAAATATAATTTATATGTATGTTTGTCTCTATTATATTAGTTCTGAGGTATGAAGTAAAAGGCTTCTGTAATAATGTTGCCGACGTTACAATTATTACATACAAATGATAACGATGTTGCCAATATGAGAACTAGTCAGTGGAAGCCGATCTTGTTAGTTGCCACTTATTTAAACCAAGACAATCATAATTCTACGAAAATTGCTTATATTGCAGTATGTTAGCATGCATATATCTTTGTTTATTCATCCGTCTAAATTTCGGCTTACTTAAATAGCTAGTTGAAATCCAGAATTGAGAAAGTTAAAGGAGTGCCACTAGGATTCAACTTACTGATAGCATTGACATTCTTGAGATGAAGTTATCGGAACAAGGAGTGCCACTAGGATTCAACTTACTGATAGCATTAACATTCTTGTGATGAACTTACCCAAACTAGAATCACTTCCACAGCAGCCATTTTCCTACTTTCCGGTCCTAATTGTCGTCTTACCTTTAGTATTTATCATTGTCTTTGTTCGGCTTTTTGTAAATACTATATTCCAAGAACATGACTCACCAGGGTTTCCGAACCAGAGACCTCATGCATTAGTTGCTGTTCAACTTTAGCAGTAAAATTTAGCCTTAATCACAAATGTCTGCTTGGCTCGTATAATTACATATAGGTTTGTTCAAGTTCGAATATATATAATTATTAGTTTCCTCTCCATCTTGAAGGAAAATAAAAAGTTCAATAGAAACAAAAATATCGAATTTCCATTTCTCTTTTTCTTAGTATAATGTTAGTTACCTAAATCTCAAATGATTAACGTTTGTGCCTTATTGTACGTCTATTTATAACATCGTAATTTACTCATTTCTTTACCATATTGCACGTGCAAATAATTGCTAGTAAATGAAAATCTTAGAATGCAAACTAACATGTTAGGACTAATCACGTTTTGATTGTAAATGCATGGTGTAGGTATCTTACATTGACTATGTAAAGGAGACCAGCAAAACAAAACGCATTTAAGTCATAAATTAATAAAATTTTATATGGTTAAATGTAATATTTTCTTGACGGAGTTGTGATATTAAAAAGGAAAGTTACAATAAAAGTGTCAAACTTTGGAAACGATGTTTTGGATGCAGATCTGACGAACTTGCATATTTTAGTGACTAATTAAGAAAGTTTTCATTGTTCCTAAACCTTTAATAGAGAACCGTTATTTTCAAAATGCAAAGTATTTGTTTTATTGGTTTGGAGAGGAATTTATTTGCTGTTTCTTATTTAAATACTCCCAGCTTTTTAACTACAGGAAAATAGAACACAATGTTATTAATAAGACTACCGATTTTAGTTTTAAAGACTCATACATAGTTAGGCACTGATTAGATTGCAGTGTCCTTCATATACAGTTCATAAAAGATTAAAAGGAAACAAAGTTATTTGACCTGTCTTTTTTGTTTGGACTAATAGTATTGCAGAGATTAAATAAGTTTTAAGTTGGTACACGAATATTAGGGAAGTCAAAACGAAATTATTTATTTTTAACCAAAGAGTATTGCAATAAAACATTTTTATTATTTGAATAACAGTGGATGATCTTAAAACGACTGCTTATTTAACTGAAAAAGTAATGTGATTTAAATGATTAAAAACTCGCAAAAGATTAGAAATATTTCGTAACTCTCACTTTAAATTATATCCATTGTACGGTTATATTATTTGTATCACGTGACAAAAATATTGATGTTACTCAGTGAGAAGTGCAAAGATAGTTTAAAGAACTTAATATAGAGGAACTCAAATGGGTAACGATTTAATATTGAATATATGAAACAAGTTTTATAATGTCCAGACTTTGCGAGCCTTGGCTCGCAAAAGCTGGATATTATTCCAAGAGTTTCATAAATTTAATATTAAATCGTTACCCATTTAAGTTTCTTTTTATAACATAGTTTTAATTTCATTGGAATTTATTTAAATAGATGGAAGAACAAACAATTCAGTTCATAATGACAGATGGTGTACCATTCATTTGTTGTGCATAAAATATAGTCCCAAACAAAGCTGATCTGGTAAAACTAGACTACTATTTTACAAACTATAAATCAAAGACAAAGCTTCCACCAGAATAAACAGAACAGTTTTTTTTTTAAACCACAAAATCATTTTTCAAAACAGAATGATAATTGAGATGTGATGCTGCCACATTGTTTGATACGGTAAACAGTAGATCTGGCCGACAGTAGAATATACGTGTACCCTAAACTGTGTTTCATAACTAAACGTTACATCATTACGATTTAAAT